GCATCTTCGGTCATTTTGCAGTCAATTTAAACTGTCACAATTTGTGTTTCCTTTGTTTGCGCTCTAGACAACAGTTCCACCCGTCACACAGTTCTAGTGGTTGGCTATGGAAAAGAGAATGGAGTTCCCTATTGGCTAGTGAAGAATTCATGGTCTGCGTCCTGGGGAATTGATGGTTATATTAAACTGGCCTGGAAAAACAACATCTGTGGAGTTACCAAGAACCCGGTGGTTGCTTTGATGAAACATAACACCTTTCAATTCCCTGTCAAAGAAAAAATCAATTACGTCAATCCACTGGATCCTTCCTCTATGGGAAGGAAAATACATGCGCAACACAAGCCAGGTTTCCATGGTAACAATAGAAGCTCTGACCTGTTAAATTCGCCCGATGATCAAACCAAGAAGTCAAATGTTGTGACGGAATCCGAACAATATTCCTCATTTTCGAGTAACTCCCCCTCAAATACTCAAGTAAATGAAAACAGTAACACAGAGAAATCGACGAAAGTGACGAAATCACAGGAAAACACAAGAGTGGATGAATCTAAAGCACTGAAAGCAGAAGAAGGACAAATCCCAGAGACGACTTCTTCACCGATAAATATAACGACAGTTGAACTTACAACGCAGAAAATGTATGAAAACGTTGATAAATCAGGCGGTGCGTCTGTGTCAGATACAAAGACAGATGAGCGTAATACACAGACAGTAGATGAAAACGAGGATAGAACGTTTGAAATAAGCAATTCACCGTCGAACACACAAACAAATGAACCGGCGTACGCGAGATATGATCTTTATAGGGGCGGAGACAAGTTTGTATCATCGTACAATCTTCACGAAAACAATCACGTGATAGTCAATCAAGACTCAGTTTATAACGTTCCGGCGGAGGACGAAAATATTATGCAACGCAAAAAATCTTCCGGTACTGGAGAGCAATATTTTATTCCTCCATATGAGTATTATAGTTACAATTCGTTTCCAATGGAGTGGGGGACACAGGAAGGAGTCATAAAACCACCCATGGAGGCTATCAGTCCTTATGACGAGAACTCTGCAATACAGAGTGATTTGCATCAATGGCGACCTAGCGACCAGACGGTCTCACAGGTCGACACAGCAAGCGAGAGCTTGCCTAATGTTGTCCAGGACTCTCCATTGTTAACTCTACAAAAGCCATATAGACCTTTTAACGAGCAAGATAAAGGCTTGATATGGACTACAACTCAGCCCTCAGCTCCTTCAACAACACCAGCTTCGACAAAAACGACGATAACAAAGAAAAAAGAAACAAAAAAAGCTTTGAGGGATCAACCAAAAAGAACTGTTAAAAGCAGAACGATTACCACTGCTCCCACGCACGTTACAACAAAACGTGTTAGACATTACTCTGGGAAACTGCAAGATATTTACGATAGACTTGAAAAAGTTATTGCTTCAAGTTTGCAGAAGAGAAGAAGACTCAGACGTTAATGACTGTTTGTTTGATAGCAGGGACGACTAACAGTAATCAAAATCTACTTTCTCCTAACAAGCATCACTAGATTGTCTAGTACACAGGTGTGAGAATAAGGAAAGTCATCATCAAATTAACCTTGTTGTTGTTGTTATCACCTGTTTTCGGAATTAGCCTGTGAACAGGCTCCGGATGGAGTCTGACTGCGGCTGGAAAGGCCGAGAGGCTTGCTGAGAGTGAAGTGGCCGAGGGGGAATGGGGCGGGGATTGGGGCGTCCTCTCTCTCCCCTCCTCTCTCTTTTCTCCTCTTCCTTAATAATCACTTTATTTAAGTGTCGGTGTCGGTGTATTTAGCACTAATGTGCTAATTGGGGACACTGTAAATAAGTAAACAAATATTTCAAATATAACATAAACTATTAAGAATCCCANTGGAGGCTATCAGTCCTTATGACGAGAACTCTGCAATACAGAGTGATTTGCATCAATGGCGACCTAGCGACCAGACGGTCTCACAGGTCGACACAGCTAGCGAGAGCTTGCCGAATGTTGTTCAGGACTCTCCATTGTTAACTCTACAAAAGCCATATAGACCTTTTAACGAGCAAGATAAAGGCGTGATATGGACTACAACTCAACCCACAGCTCCTTCAACAACACTAGCTTCGACAAAGACGACGATAACAAAGAAAAAAGAAACAAAAAAAGCTTTGAGGGATCAACCGAAAAGAACTATTAAAAGCAGAACGATTACCACTGCTCCTACGCACGTCACAACAAAACGTGTTAGACATTACTCTGGGAAACTGCAAGATATTTACGATAGACTTGAAAAAGTTATTGCTTCAAGTTTGCAGAAGAGAAGAAGACTCAGACGTTAATGACTGTTTGTTTGATAGCAGGGACGACTAACAGTAATCAAAATCTACTTTCTCCTAACAAGCATCACTAGATTGTCTAGTACACAGGTGTGAGAATAAGGAAAGTCATCATCAAATTAACCTTGTTGTTGTTGTTATCACCTGTTTTCGGAATTAGCCTGTGAACAGGCTCCGGATGGAGTCTGACTGCGGCTGGAAAGGCCGAGAGGCTTGCTGAGAGTGAAGTGGCCGAGGGGGAATGGGGCGGGGATTGGGGCGTCCTCTCTCTCCCCTCCTCTCTCTTTTCTCCTCTTCCTTAATAATCACTTTATTTAAGTGTCGGTGTCGGTGTATTTAGCACTAATGTGCTAATTGGGGACACTGTAAATAAGTAAACAAATATTTCAAATATAACATAAAYTATTAAGAATCCCAACTGGTGGGAGGCTGACCAGTTGGCTATTTACACAACGCGGYCGAGGWGTTGAACTCGGGGCTACCGAGAGCAAATCCAGACAGCGGTAGGGCGGAGGATTTGAACCAGGGACCTCCAGATTTCAAATCCAGCGCCCTAAACCACTCGGCCACGCCGCCTCCCTTACTTCTTCCTGCTTTCCCTTCGCCCCTCGACTAGAGAGCCAGTTCACAGGCTATTTCGGAATTAACTTCGCGTTAAATCATGGTTAAATAGAGCGTATTTACTCACGTGTCCAGCAGCCGTGCAAATTTATTGGAACAAAAGAAAGTGTTTACACAAGAAAAGAGTTGAACTCCCACAGGATTGGTTTGGTACACCAACATGGCCGCCGTTAGACTTGCCACAAGTCGACCTTTTCTTAATCCTTTTCTTAATCATCTCGAGCGATGCGAGAGGGTAGTCTTCGAGCAACAGGCCAGGGAAGAATTATTGGAAAGGACTTTTAGGAAGTCTAGGGCCGCCGTTTCACTGTTTTGGGACACCAATATGGCTGCCATGACGTCATGTGCATACGTTCTATGCAATTGAAAGATAAACTGATGATGTTGATGTACTTAAAGAAAATCACTGAAGAATTTTATTGTGTGCGAAGGTGCGATTTTCTACATTAAATCATAAGATGCACCCAAACGAAAATACCATGAAGGTATCGAACCTGTTGTAAATTTATCGATATGCCTATAGATTGAAGACGACCAGGCTACAAGCAGTGGCCAGAAAATCCTTAGCTTAGAGAAGTAGAATGCACAGTTGCAATTGTCATGGCAAGAAATTTCTCACAGCCGAAGGAAAGCTACAAATCGAGTTTAATTTCTAGCGAAGACTACAGGATGAACTATTAGCAGAAGTTTATCATAATAAAGCGTTTTCTCACTATAATTCATCAAGTTTAAACATAGGAAATCATGACCGGGACGGTGTTTGGATATCTGACGCATAGATTTTTACGGTTTCATTTCTCTGTTTTCTCGGTTAGTTTAATTTTCGATTGAGAAGATATATCAAACACTTAAGACAGTGTTTGACCACATTAGTTCGTCAAACACACTCTGCTATGCGTCGCATTTTCAACTCTGTTCTCGGTGTTTAGAAGTGTGGTAAACACGGTCTTTCGTGTTTGATAAGTATGTATTGCATGAACTTCAGTGTACTATAAACTTTTCCCTCAGCTTGTCTACTCTTAGTTGGTATTTTTTTTATGGGGGAGGGGTGGCCAGAAGAACTGAAACTTGTCGAGTATGTACAATAGACGAATATGGAAATTGTAAGTAAAGTTGACGGTTTAGCGCTTTCTATGTTTGACTGTTTTGTTGGGGAAGAAGCGCTGCTCGGTCTTTTTTTTTTATGGTACCTACCAACTGAAAATAAAAAATTACCTCGAAATCATAATGCACAATTTGCTACCGAAATTCCCAGAAAATATTTATCCCATTTGTTTACAAAACTTCTGCGGATAACAAGCAAACAAATTATGACTGAGGCAATATTATTTTTATTTGTTTGTTTAGCAATGTTTTTCATTTCCCCTAAAAAAGCTATAACAACTACAACAATTAACAAAATTAACGAAACAAAAGGACTAAGGCAAATGCCTCTGGATCTGTTTACCTGCTACGGTCCTGGAGACCCCGAGTTATTTTTAGTAAACATCACCATCGAGGTTCCTTGATCATCTTCCTTTGCATAGCTTAACGACCATTAACACCAGATCGCGTGTTAATTTTAATCAAGATGCACGTTTTGTCACAACGAGAAAAGAAAAGATACATTGTATCATACAAGTTATGGACTCATAACTGCAGTAAATGTTCGGGTTGAGTGCAGTGCTAAATTGTTCTCTAGTTACCTTTTTTTACTTTCCCAACCTTAACCATAATTTTTTTTTATAAGTAGACTTCTTATTTAGTCACATTATATTTCCTTTCCTTTCCTTTCCTTAACTTTATTAGCCTCCAAGTGGGTATATCAGTTATTTCAGTTTGCGCCCAGCACAAATAGCTTTTTAAACAACAAACGGGCAAGCAAATTGCGTTATTTTCCATTTTCATCAGGACAATAAGCATTTCCTTTCCATTATTCTAAAATAAAAGGGAGTTTTACAGCTTCCACTGAGCTATCGCTTCTATTCTGCTGTAACAACCCACCCTACCCCGCCGACAGGAGAGTCCTTGACTACAAGTACGTAGGTCTCAGAAGTTAGCAGAAATCTTGCGTGCGTTGCAATTTCATGACACGTAATTACTGACTGCGTGTGAATCGAAGAGACTGGGCCTGCTACGTCACCCACAACCTGTCACGTGACTTAAAGCAGGAGAACAAAATGGCGGCCGAGATGACTTGATTCCAACTTGTTTGTTTGTTTCCGAAAAACTATGATTATTTCACTGTCTTGAAAGTAGTGGATAAAAGGCCGATCGCTGCCAAGGATAGTTCTAAAGAAACGCCATGTACGAAAACACTAAGACGCAAAATATGTTCCTTACACGGGCTTTGGAGAAGATACTCAATGACAAGGAGACCAAAAAATCCTATCACCAGCAGTTGAAGAAAGCCTGCGAGGTTGCATTAGGTAAGAGATAATGCAGAAAAAAACCCAGGTCAGCTCGAGGCTTTTATCATAATGTTTAGTTCACCTCATGTAGATCTGACCAAAATTCAACAACTCGGGAGTTAATTTACTTAAAATTGTGTGCTCTCAGCTTGTAGCGTTCAAAGTTCGAGAAATTCTTCTTTCGAAACAGGTGTGAAGACCAGATGCCACATCTAAAATAGAAATTTGATCCTCTATGCAGTTTGTTTTATGTCAATGGCCATTTAAAGTTTTGCCCCATTCTGAAATACTTTCACGTCGAAGCGAAGTGAAATATAGTTTCGTCGATCGTGGACGAAGTCATTCAATATTGTAAATTGTTGAAATCTCGTCACGCTCTGATTGGTTTTGGTTTTAAAGTCGAACAGGAAAGTCCTGTGCAGCCTTGAACTACAGTAGTTAACCTAAAAGTATTATTTTAGTTCTTCTGTTGAAACAACTTCCGTAAACCCGAGATGTTTGACTCGTACTGAAATGCAAACTGAAAATATTTCTAAGAAATTAATATCGCAATACTATATTAAATTACTGACCTACGCTGTGTTAAAAATCACCCTTTCCTGTCAAACTGATACAATTCTTGGATGGTGGTGGGATTTCCAAGTTCCTGGTTATTTGTTTAGTCTCTTGTACATAATTTAAGCAAAGAGGCAAATTAAAAACAGTCCTTTAATTTTTGAAAATATGATAGATATTGTTACAATTCAAACATTTTGATGTATCTAACATTATCAGGAAGAGAATGGAAATCACACTGACTTACCTGGAATCTCAATTTCTTCATCCAGCACTGTCCTTCTATCCTTGATAATTATGTTAGATACATTGAAAGATTGCATTACAATAGGCTTGAATTGTACTCATGTATACCATAAGTTCTTCAACAGCAAAAATGTGTAGATTTTGATTGGAGTTTGATATGACATGTGAAATGCTCTTTTTCCTTATTGGTTTGAATATTTTCTCATTAAAAAATTCTTCCAGATTATTTGAAATGATTTCATCGTATTTGATAGATTTGGAAAAAAAAAATTTTGTGATTGGTCACCGAGACNGACACTCAATTGAAAACCGCTCTAAACTGTATAATACCAGTTGGTGTATAAAAGAGAACACTTGTACACATATCTTCCAGAAGTCAGGAACAACACAGAGGCTCACAATAATTTTAGTCTTCATTATTTGAGAAACAGAAAAGATATATCCTGTTTTTGTTTCAAGTTGAGGAAAGATTTGTGGAAGTTTGGAGCTCAATCTTTTTCGAGTTCTCCTAAAATTTCACCAGTGTTTCTAACTTGGTATAAACAGAGGGAACTTGATTTTTTTCTTCCTTTCTTTTCTGTTAGAAAACATAGCAATAAAAGAAGGGAAAATTATTATTCTGAGTGCCTTTCAACAGCTTATGCCAGCTGTGTTTCTTTCAAGTTATAGAAGTGTGGCTTCTCGTGCAGTCTTTCTCAGAGGGTGTTGTCAAAATTCTGTTTTTGAAGATGCTGTGAGCAATATATTCGGCAAACAGATATTGACTATTATACTCATGTCATTGATAAGCCATATTATAATTTTTGTTTTCCACAATATTAAGGGATTATACTACTTATTTATCTTGACCCTTAAGCTTATTATTCAATTTCTATCATGTTCTTCCGATTTTTGGTTAATTGAGTCAATAAACCATAGAAACGAGCTTTCTATTGCTTCTATTGCTTCCAATTTAAGAAATTATGTGAGAGCAATGACAGATAGAATTCAATTTGCATGTTTTGGAAACCTATACCCTATACACTACAGAGTGAGTTTCGTGACATAGTAATAAATGAATGGAATTAAACAAAATATGACCTTCCATTTCCTTAAGGACATGTGTTGCCCATATTTAACTTTCTGAAGAGCTGAATTCATGGTTAAGAAATTTAAACTTAAATTAAGATTATTTAGGTCTACAATCAAAGCGTCAATAGTGATCATTTTTGATATTGATAAACCAGCAAGATATTGTTAACACATACATATTGCTTTTCAGAGGAAATTCATAAATCTCAAGTAGCTGTTATTGCAGATGGCAGGTAAATGTTTTTGTATTGTCATGGAGGACAACCTAATGATTATATAATAAACATTTTCTTCTTTGCATAATATTAATAAGGTGACAAGAAATGTTTGATGTAAATAAAGAAAACTGCATCTATTATTCTAGCACCTGATACATCTCATCTTGATGTGCTATCATATTTTTTAAACTAAAGTAGCTCTATTTGTAATACTCAGTTGAGTATTTTTACTTTACTTAAATTGGGTGTGGTGGTGAAGAAAGCTTATGCCACATACACATATAATTATGTACTGCTGAACATGTAGTTGTTTCTGCACAGGTAAGTGCAGTCTGAATTAAATTCAAAGCCAAAAAACCAACGATTGATCACTTTGTTAAAATTTGGAAGTCTCTGTACGCTGTACAAAATGTATTATTGTAATACAAGAGAGCAAAGCTACACTTCACTTGACATTTGTTTGTTCTTATTTGCAGTGATGAGAGTCCATCATCAGCTCTGCCTCCTCCTAAAGGAAAGCAACCCTTTATTGAAGCAGACAAATATTTTTTACCATTTGAACTTGCTTGTAAATCCAAGTGCCCTCGTATAATTGTCACAGCACTCGACTGTCTGCAGGTACTGTTAACTTGGTTAATATCATAGTACAGATTGATAAGCTCTATTTTGTATAACAGTGGAAGCATCATTCACTTACACTGTATATGTATGTAGTTTTATAAATAATAATTTTGTTGGATGAAGTTTTTGTGATATCCAGAATAATCAAGGTCTCGTTAAGGGCTATCAGCCTCAGCCTTTTATATTGTTTTTATCTTTTATAAAAAGTGTACATGTGTAATAAAAATAAGGTGAAACCTCTCTATGTGCATCCTGTTTATTTATCTCCCATCATATCACTTTTTGGATCTCCATTATCCCTTTTAGGCTTCATTTCAGGAAAACTGAAGTGTAAACCCAGAGGAATTTTCCTCATCTTTCATTACTAGTAAAATGGTTGTTTGTGTCNTTAAGGGTTATCAGCCCCAGCCTTTTATATTGTTTTTATCTTTTATAAACAGTGTACATGTGTAATAAAAATAAGGTGAAACCTGTCTATGTGCATCCTGTTTATTTATCTTCCATCATATCACTTTTTGGATCTCCATTATCCCTTTTAGGCTTCATTTCAGGAAAACTGAAGTGTAAACCCAAAGGAATTTTCCTCATCTTTCATTACTAGTAAAATGGTTGTTTGTGTCACTGTAATGTGGGTTACCTACTAAACTGGGTTTTGTTCTTCATAATTTACTTCTGATTTCTCTGTGTTTTTCTTCAGAAACTTATTGCTTATGGTCATCTTGCTGGCGACATTCCAGACAGTACTGAACCCGCCAAGAGGCTGCTAGACCGTATAGTGGAGACTATTTGTAGCTGTTTTGTGGGAGTGCACACTGACGAAGGAGTTCAGCTTCAGATTATTAAGGTATCAGATTGATGCAGTGATGAAAGCCCCGGCCAAACGGACTTGCAAGTACAGTAGCCGCAAGTTGAACTTGCATAGAGACTTGTGTTGGGTGGCCAAACAGATTCACAAGTTTCCTTGCAAGTACACATGCCAGTCACAAAAGAAAAACCATTTCAGGGTTATGGGCTGAGTCCTTTCATTGGCTAATAGGTGGCTATAACAACAAATGGATGTCACTCAACCTGCATTGACTTGGATTTGGTTACTTACAAGTCCATTTGGCCAGGGCTTAACATATTTTATTATATAAATATTGACGAAAGACCAGGATTTTTCTTTTTCCTAAAGTTTGATTTCTTCATTTTGTGCGCAGTGAAGACACCATTTTTATCTTTCACATTTGAGGATAAGGATGTCTTCATGGTTGCAGACATGTATAATTTTTCTTTCAACAACAACAACAACAACATCAACAAAACTTTATTCCTTTCTCAATGATTTACATGAATTTTAGGTTAATGAGTTGTGTCACATCTGCACTTTATTTATTAAAAATAATTAAGTTAGAAACTTAAATATAATGACAGATGAAGCCACAGGTACATGTAGTCTTGGATAATCTAGGCGGGCCACATCTATATATATATTATACCATTAATATGCAATAAGTATTTGTCAACATCATTATGTCAATGAATACGTTTAATTGTTGTGTTTATTGTCTGTAGGCTTTGCTCACTGCTGTAACTTCGAATTCTTGTGAAGTTCATGAAGGAACACTCTTGCAGGCTGTACGGACCTGTTACAATATTTACCTGGCCAGCCGTAACCTTACTAACCAAAGAACTGCCCAGGCTACACTCAGCCAGATGATAAGTGTTATTTTTCAAAGGATGGAAGCTCAAGCAGTAAGTGTAATTTTATTTCTTTCTCTTCAGGAACCTTTATCATCCAGGGTCCGAAATTAACTTTTTTCGGCAGGTGCCAACTGGTGACTGACATTTTTTTTCAGTCGCCATATGGAAAACTATGGTCGCCAAAAAGTGTCAATAAAAATTTTCCTTCGCGGCGAAACACAAACCAAACTTTTTGGTCGCCACGGGCTTGCCAGCAAAATATTTGCAATTGATGTAACCAGGAATCAAACCAGTACTGAAATCATCTTTTGACCACTTTGACAGATCTACATTTCAACCTTTTGACGCCCAGAGAATATCTAAATCTTCATCTAACTTCCTTGCGGATGTTCCGTCTCTACTTTGTAATAAATTACGGAAAGATTTCAGAGCATCTGTGGACACCACATTGCCTGAATAAATATTCATGGCGAAAGAACGCATGGGGCCTCTTGCACTCGCAATACGTATGTTATGGGAAACCGCTGAAAAAACATGGCGGTGAAGCTTCACACTGATCGTAGCTGTGAAACGTGGTAGATTTATAATAACAGGAAAATCGGTTTTATACTTCAAAAGCAGTGGAAAGGTAAAAAGGAAGTGACCAATTGGCGGGCGGCTTTGCATTTTATTTTTTAAAATCGATTTGGCTGAAAATCAAAGTTATTGTTTGTGCAATTATCGTGGCACGAAATAGTTAATCGCCCTCTGGCGACCAGTTGTGGAATTCTGGTTGCCAGTGCAAAATTTTTAGTCGCATTGGCGACCAGGAAAGCGCAATTTCGGACCCTGTCATCTGTGGTAGTGTTGGGAATTTCAAGTTAGGAATTAGCATTTGTTGGAAGTTTCATGGGTAATATCTAGAATTAGCCAAGCCTAAAAGCAGAGCTCCTGAGTACAATAAGTTAACTGGACTTGAGCCTGCAATCCAATTGAAAAATTGGGCAGCAGTCATTAAATGAAACATGACCTTGTTGAGCTTTAAACCTGAGCCRRCRATGTGGTCACGTGACACTSGTTAGCGGATACCTTGTTTTGACTAGTGTCAATTGACTATAACATGGATGTCCAATGTCAAAGACRTAAGCTGTAAACCAAGCCTGTGTGCCTCTGYCAACCTTTTAGCTGGATTATGGCCGCCATGGTGTGCAACATCATCGTCACTGTGTGTACACGCCCACAAGCAATAACCATAGCCAGGATGTCCATGAGAAAAGCAACTCATGGGTTCCTATGAGTATGGTTCTCCGCTTGGCAGCCCAAAGCTCTCTTATTATCGAGAGATCTAATAATGATTTTTTGTACTTGCCATAAGAATATCCTACATGTAGCTTAGAGTGGTTAGCTTCCATTTACATAAGTTATTCCATTCCTATACAACACCACTAGCAGAATATTTTACAATCTTTAGGCAGCAGAGGAGGAGTCAAAAGAAACAGAGCCAGACACCACATCTGTCCAGACAGCTTCTACCCCCACCCCCTCAGAGACGACAGAGCCACAATCTCCTGACAGACTTGCTACTGTGTCATCAAACTTGGATAATCCTGCTTCTGACTCTGTGGTAGAGGACCATGAGCCAAAGAGTGTGAACACTGACAATGACAGGACCGAGGAAGAAAGTAATCAAACCGATGATGTGGATGAGGGTGTTGATCTGCAAGGTAAGAAACACAATGAACGGAAAGGTAAAAGTTTAAGATTTCTTGAATTACCTTCTACCGTTAACTTCTGACATTAACAAGGAACTTGGTGATTTTATCTTCAGCTGATGAACAGCTTGAAGATGGCACAAAGGGATCTTTAGAGGAATGCAAAGGAGAAACAGGAGCCTCAAGTTCAACTGATGGTGGTAATAACAGTATAGCGGAGTCTACTGAGCAGGATGGGGCAGATAAGGCTGAAGTAGATGCAGAGAGTGCAGGTAAAACTATATCCCAGAATGGTACAGATGGCAAGGAGGACACTGTGAAAGACAACACAAGTGAAGTGACTGCTGACAGCATTCCTGTTGTTGGTGATGAGGATTCTGATAAGGTACAGCTTTGAAGTAAAGCAAAGTTCACTGTGGTTTTAGAGTGTAAAGATTTATTTCAAAAGTTTATTTTATTATCTATCTTTTACCTATCTCATCCTGTTAAGTGATGTACTCATTAGGTAATGTGTTGTGTGTGCAAGTTGTTAACTCCAACCACACCTTGGATAAACTAAATAGAAGGCCGAAAAAGGTCTTGAAAGTGTCAAATAGCTACTAGACAAAAGTGTAAAACTTTTTGGGGCTAGCTCTCCTTCAATTCAACATACTGAAGAAGGGTTAAACCTGAAAAGTCTAGTTTATGCTAACTATTTGACACTTTCAAGAGCTTCTTCAACCTTTTATGTCATCAGATTAGTTGTCTCTTATTTTACATCTCTTGAATTTGTTACTTAACACTACTGGTAGTACTCAAAAACACTATTTTCAGAGTTTATATGGGAGCCCAGAATGCAAAGTAGAATTTTCTCAGAAGTGTCTGTTGTTAACAAAAATGTCGCTACCAAGGGACCTGAAATATTTGTTTTTTTTTTTAACATTGCTTTTTGTTGGCACTTTTGAGATACAATACATGCATTGTTCCAAAGTGACATGGCTTGTGTAATACCAGTGTGGGAGGCATATGCTGAGATCTTTATTTTTCTATTTGTTTATTTGTTTGTTTGACTGTTTGCTTGTTAGGCTGAAGAACCAAGCAAGCTTGAGCAAATCAACACTGACAATCCTTCAGGTACTGTTAAATGAAACTAAAAAGCTCTAAAACTGGGAATTTTTATGCAGGGGTGTCATGAGTTTCCATCTGCTGGCAAAATCACTATCTACTTCGTGATCTCAGACAGCTACTCTCCTTGCCGTTAATCTGTTGATTCTTTAGCAGAAAGATACATGTAGCAATGTCAGTCACTTACATGAGCCCCAGCAATAATGTTGTCTACTTTAAAGTGTCACAATCTTGTTATGGTATCTATTCCATGATCATTAAGAACTTACAGACCATAGAACAAAGTTTTACTACATTTTTACTGCATAAACTGTTGTGAGTATAGCAATACCTTGTGTATCATAATTGCATTTATATAACAATTCATGTCAGTGTGAATAAAGAAATTTCATTGGCAGTTTTTGTTTCAAAAAATCATTCCCACTTCCTCTCCACCATTTGAACATTAGTAGTGAAGTTGTTGTCTTAAATAACATTATTATGTTCTCTGCAAGCCTCAAACATGTCTTTCTCTTGTCATTAGATCAAACCATTCTAGCAAATGGTGACATGAGTGAAAGTAGTCCAGAAAAGCCAAACATCAATGGACTTCCACAGTATGACCTCCAGGTACCCTCAACACCAACAGAAACATCGTCACCTATGTCTGATGAGCTAGGAGACACTCACAGTGAATCAGGAACTGAAGCAGAAGGAAGTGCGTCATCAACTTCTGTCAACAGTCAAGGAGGAGGAGCTGTCAAGTTTTCTCACATCACGCAGAAAGATGCATTTCTAGTGTTTAGATCCTTGTGTAAACTTTCCATGAAGCCACTGTCTGATGCGCCATTGGATCCTAAGTGAGTGACTCTTTTGACCTAGGAACTGTATGTGGTCTTCTTTCAACTTCATCTCAAACTTCTTCTTCTTTTTTTTTTTTTTTGTAAACCTCTTGTTCCATTTCAGGTCCCATGAGTTAAGATCCAAGATTCTGTCTCTGGAATTGATGCTTTCTTGTCTTCAGAATGCAGGACCAGTGTTCTGTACTCATGAGATGTTTGTAACAGCCATTAAACAATATCTTTGTGTTGCATTGTCAAAGAATGGTGTTTCCTCTGTTCCTGCTGTGTTTGAATTATCATTGGCTATCTTCCTTACATTGCTGTCATCATTCAAAACTCATCTCAAGATGCAGATTGAGGTAGACCATTTTGATGTGAAGTTCTGCTCTTTCTTGTTTTTTTTTTGGAAGGAAAACATATCATGATTATTTTAATCCATCTGTCCATTTATTCATTCCTTCTTCCATGGGTTCATTTGTTTACTGTCCGTGTCTGTCCATCTGTCTGTCTGTCTGTTTCTGTCTATCAGTCAGTCTGTCTGTCTGTCTGTCAGGCTGTCAGTCAGTCTGTCTGTCTGTTTGTCTGTTTGTCTGTCTACAGGTCTGTTTTTCTGTCAAAAATCTTTTCCAATCTTGTTAGCAATATTTGAACCATCTCTCTGGTAGGTGTTCTTTAAAGAGATCTTTCTTAACATCTTGGAGACCTCAACCAGTTCATTTCAACACAAATGGATGGTGATGCAGGCGCTGACGAGAATATGTTCAGGTACGAGATAAAATATTCTGATAATGGTATGTCCAAAATGCCAGGTAATTGGTGTAATTCATTTTAATCTTTCTTTCAGATGCCCAGTGTGTTGTTGATATTTACCTCAACTACGACTGTGACCTGTCACTGTCCAACATCTTTGAACGACTAACAAGTGACTTGGCCAAGATAGCTCAAGGAAGACAAGCAATAGTGCTAGCTGCAACTCCAGTAAGTTATTGTACTTTAATATTAATAGGTTGGTGTTCAGTTGTTCGAGTAAAGTGAAAATTAATTGCTTGAAAAAACTCTTGGAGAACAAGAATCACAAAGGAACGCTTCAAGATACCAAAGGCTCCTAAAGGAGCCACCCCTCATGAAAAAGGCAATGATCAACAACAACAATGTGCTTTCCATTTGTTATAAGTTTATTCAGTGACATCTTAAGAAGTTTTGTATGGATATTAATTAGGCCTTAGAGAACTCCAACCTTAGATGTTTCTGTCGATGAGGCGCACCCCCAATTTTTGACTTGAATTTTTAGAAAAAAGGTGCAGCTTATACATGGACTTTTATGGTATCTTGCTTAGAGGCTATTTAGTGCTGGTACATTACACTGGCAAGCATGAAAAGAAAAGTGGATTGGAGAGTGTTTTTCACACTAGTCAAATTAATTAGGCATGATAGGGAGATTCTGTGTTCTTAAACAGTAAGTCTTTAGTGAGCTGTGTGCTTTCATCTTTAGGTGCAAGAGAAGAGTATGCGTCTTAAAGGTCTGGAGTGTTTAGTGTCCATACTAAAGTGCATGGTGGAGTGGAGCAGAGAGCTTTATTTAAACCCTCACTCCCATGTGGCTAGCTCCTCAGGTTGGTGCTTAATTGTTTTTCATTGTTATACTTCTTCCAAGTGTCTGTTCAGTTCTATGTTAAATTGCATACAGAGACAGTTGTTCATCAGGTTTCTATTTAACCTGCTAATGTTGCAGATACACCAACACCAGGTGTAAAGAGGAAAGGCAGTATGAGTGAAGCAGATGCTGAGGAGGCAGGAGATCATATCAATTTGCCAGAAGATCGTATCAGTCTCGGTTCAGAGCTCAAGTCATTTGGTGGAAGCCAGGGCTCGTTGAATTCTACATCAACAGCGTCAACTGTGGCACCAGACAACCCTGAGCAGTTTGAGTCCCTGAAACAGATGAAAGGATTGATGGAGCAGGGAATTGAAAAGTAAAGTGCTTCTGACTTTATTGTAATGGCATTAGATGCTGCCTGATATGACTGAGTTGATAGCTGTACTTCGTGAGTGTAGCCAATGAAACACTTGATGAAAAAATTGCAGCTTCATCGTAACAACAGTGATAACAGAGCTACATGTAATGGGCTGAGTGAGATCCAGCCATTGTTTATGACATCCATAATTCCAATAGCCCAAGGCTTCTGACAGAATTGACTGAACAGAGCGCAGTCAAACCTTCACAAATGAACCAGGACTGTCACCTGTTGCCTTGATCTTCACATGTTGTATCTATAACAAAATTGTTACACTGTGGGTAAATTGTATCATTCAATGATGACACACAAGCTCACCAGGAACATCAAAGGCCCATTAAGCATGTTCAGCTGTGACGGGCATTACAGGAGGTACATGTATTACAAGGTGTGGTCCGTAATGACAACCCTTGGGACCTCTCAAAAGCCGACCCTTTGTCATGGTCACAGACACTACATTTGTATCCTCCCATCAATTGAAACCTCTCCTACATGTAAGTGGATACATATTCTGGTCCTAAAGGTATCTGCTCCCGGAAGGCTTGACTGTACATGTTAAACACATATCTGTCTGGAAGTCAGTAAGAAAATTAATAAAAACATTTAAATCACAGCAACAAAAAGACGGAATGTTAATAACTCTTCTATGTATTTCCATGTGGGTTTATACATTTACCCTTTGCCCTTTCCCATAGTGGACAATATGTTCAGTTCTGTATCCTTTATAGAAGTAACATTACTATGAATTTATTTTTCCTCATCAGATTTAACAAGAGTCCAAAGAAAGGAATAAAGTACCTTCAAGATAATGGCCTCCTGGGACCTGAACCAGATGATGTTGCTGAGTTTTTACACACAGATGAAAGACTAGACAAAGTATGTTTTCTTTTGTAGGAGAATTTTTGCCTTTATGCACACCACTGCAGGAAATGGAGCAAAACTTGAAGAATGTATTGATAATTAAACTGATTTGTTTCAGACACAAGTTGGAGAGCTGATTGGAGACCATGACCTGTATGTATTGAAGCCTTTACTATTGGTCGCATTGCTTTGTTTATCTTGATAATCAGTTCTTATTTTCTTAGTAGCACTTCATTTCATCTTTGGCAGAGGTTGAGTACTGATTATTAGCCAGATGACCTTGCCTAATCCTGCTTCTGCCTTTCTTTGTCATCTGCTCATGCCAGGATTTAAGCCAGGATTTTAAAAGTGGATTTCCAAAATTTGCTATAGAGTCTGCTCAAATGATCAATTTATAGAGCAACATGTGAAACATGAAACAATTTTCTTGTGAAAGTGAGCGTCCACAGGATGCCTGGACACCCATCTGGCTAAAAGCCTGGCTCATATATATGTAATTGACTGAATTTTCATGATGAAGGCAAAACTGAACTTGCTCACTTGTTCGGTTGGTCAGTCTCTTGGTCAATTCCTATAAACATTTTTGTTTCTGAGCTGTGCTTAAAGCTTGCAAATTTATTTTTTGTTCAGGTTCAGTAGAGAGGTGATGTATAGCTACATCGACAAATTCAACTTTACGGACATGGACTTTGTGTCAGCCTTGCGCTTGTTTTTAAACAACTTCCGACTTCCAGGAGAAGCTCAGAAAATTGATCGGCTCATGGAGAAGTTTGCCAGCAGATATCTTGAAACTAACCCCACGTAAGAGCCCTTGATACATGCACATTTAGTGTCATAATAAGCTTTGTTATCTTTTGCAAGTCTGCTGGGGAGTAGAGGGTAAGAGAAGATTGACAGCAGTTCTTTAAACAGGAAGTTGAGGGCATAATGTGTAGAGTAGCAGAGTAGCTATAGTTGATTTTGACTCGTCCTCCACTTGCTTCTTGTGAGACAATTTTAAGTTGTGGGTGATGATTTTTCCTAGTTAAGAGATGACTGGGGATGAGTCTGCAGTTGTTTGGGGTATAACTCTCGAGCTTACATGTAAACTGCTGGATTTCAATCTCATTGAACTTGCAGTCATCTTTGTCACAAGAACTGTCCACTGGCCTTCAATTGTATCCTCTATATAGGGGGTAATTTTCAGTCCAATTCTGTCTAAAATGAAGACTACCAGAGAGATGATATTTCTTTTTGTTATACAAAATTAAGTGGTCTACAGAGTGGTAACAAATCAGTGAAAACAATATCCCACATGTGAGGATATCATTTTTGTCCCTTAACTGCACTAGAATTTGTTGGTGTATGATTGAAATGTTTTTGGATCTTCTTTGGAAGTCTTCAGCAATCTNGGACACACATCCGACCCACTTAAAATCACTTCAAACAGAATAGCAGAAGACTCGCTTATCAACTCCAAGAACGAATAAAACTGTTTTCAAATTCCACTTGCGATGGTCACGATTGCCGCACACTCCCACAGAGAAAGGACATCTCGTGTTGACTCGCATGAAGATAGAGAACACGTGGGCTATTTTAAAGGTTTTTTTCATTAATAAATTGACATTTTTATTAATATGGCGGAAGATTCACGAGATTGGAACAACGAAATAAATTTCCAGCTACCGCGGTTTACAGTTTTTATATATTAATTTTTCATTTTGAAGTGATTTTAAGTGCGTCGGTGGTTGATAAAAAGACGTGATGTCTTGTTCTTGTTGTTGTTCTAACACATTCCTGGTATCGGCAATTCAAATTTCCCATTGGAACAAGGTGGTTTTTGCAGAATGATGTTCCCTTGAGAAAATACATTATTGTTGTTTGTCTTACTGGCGCACCTTTCTTCCTTGTTTAGACCTTCAGAATGAAAAACAAAGAAGACTTCTTTACTACCAAGAAATGGAACAAATGGCTCAAACAGCAAAGACATTGATTGAAGGAGTGAGTCAGATTCAAACCACATTCACATCTGCTACTCATGTGGAGCACATCAGACCAATGTTTAAGGTATGGGAAGTCTTTAGTTGAATAGAGCAATTCTCCTAACTTATTTTGATCCACTTCATTTCATTTGAGTTCTAGGAACTTAATGGCACATTTAATATAACTTCAGGGAGTTGCAGTGGCCTCATAGTTAGTACGCTCATCTCTGGATCAAGTGGTCCGGGTTTGAGGCCTGGCTGGGGACACTGTGTTGTGTTTTTGGGCAAGTCACTTCACTCTCACAGTGCTTCTCTCCACCCAGGTGTATAAATGGGTACCGGTGAATTTAATGCTGTTGGGGGGGGGGGNAACAACAACAACTTTATTTGTACTCAGCTAGAAATTAGACGAACAAATATAAGTTAAAGTAAAAAGAGTACATGACGCGCCAATCTTGTCAGAGTAGAAATACTTGGCTTGTATGCAAACTTTACCTTACATTAACTTGTTGTTTGGTATAATTTCCTACCCAGGTTACATGGAGTCCATTTCTGGCAGCATTTAGTGTGAACTTACAGCACTGTGATGATCAGCAAGTGGCCTCACTGTGTTTGGATGGCATACGATGTGCAATCAGAATCGGATGCATATTTGGAATGCAGGTATAGACGGTTACGTGAAACAATTGTGAAACAATTGGCGCGGCTCAAGGTTTCTGAACGTTTCTCCAACAAGACTTGGAGGTAGCGTGGCCGAGTGTTAAGGCCACCGGACTTGAAATCGCGGGTTTAATTCCCGCTCTGGCCACTTAGGCCTCGCCTACACCACGCCTGGGGAATATAAAAACGGAGTTTTCACTCTGAAAACGCATCAAATGTTTTCCGTCCACATTATGCTCTAGGGATATGACAACGCAACAGTCACCGGTTATTTTGGATTCATGGTCGAGGAAAACTTGGGTAGGGAAATCGCAATATTATTGTTACTCCATTGTTTCCGAAAAGCTCCGTTTCCAAAATGTTTTCCGACCACACTAAGACGCAAAGCCGGCGTTTTCAAATTCCTCGGGTTTGAAGAGGGGACGGGGCGATCTTGGCAGACCCTAGTTCAACTTCACGGTCATGCTTGTAAATAGCTAACTGGTCTGCCTCGCCCTGCCTCCCTTAAGCGCATTATTTTTAATAGTTGATATATTTCTTTATTCTCAGTTTAAGTTGCATGCCTGTGAACTACATGTAGCTTGGTGTAGCTAAGCGCATTGACCACTATGAACCACAACATTTGAACATTTTTTTTGAAGACACGTACTGTGTAATAAGTTTTATAGTGCTTTGTTTCATGGCTTAGATCACACGTTCATCTTTTCTTACAGCTTGAGCGTGACAGCTTTGTCCAGGCTCTTTCTCGGTTCACGCTCTTGACAGCAACAGCAGGATTACAAGAAATAAAGACAAAGAACATTGACACAATCAAGACACTTATAACTGTAGCACAGACAGATGGAAACTATCTTGGCAGGGCGTGGCATGAGGTAATGTAAATTATACTTAGAATTATGTTCCAAATTCTGTTTGACTTTATTTTGTTAATATACACACATTTCTATAAGAATGTTATATTGCTCTTCCTGCCGAGGCTGAGTATTCTTATATTTCTGCCGATTTTAGGCTGAAAATATCTTTGTGAATATTCTTAGATTATAGCGTATGACGTATCTGTTTTCGAATGTATTTGATGTCTGGATGGTGTTAAAGTAATTTTGGAGTCAGGCTAAAGGCATTGAAACCTGATATCACGCACATAGCTTCTCGCAGAAATGATATCAGCATTGAACATACGGCTAGTGCTGTTGCTTTTTGGCTACACTAGTTTTGCCGTTTAGAGAAAGGAAGATTTCTATACGGTTTAGTTAAAAACATATAATTGTATTGTATTTACAAATTTTCAACGTACAAAATTATGTTAATTTAAAAATATCAGCTTCGGGTTTATTCTTAAACTGAAATATTCTTAAAATTTCGCAATTTTCATCCTCCATGTTCTTATAGAATGTATTCTTATAAAAAAGAGTGTACTCTAACACTTGAAATAAACAGTGTTTCAAGATTGTTACGAATATTGATATATGTTGATAGATTAAATATGTAAGTAATCAAAGAAATAATTTAGATTGTTCGCTCTCTGTAAGTACGAAGTTATTCATTCATTCATTTATTTTTTTGTGTCGTTTGTTCTTGTTGTCTTCTTTTTCTTGTATAGTTTTCTTTTTTGTCACTTGTAGTATAACGTAAGCTACTAATGTTAACTTAACAGCCGTTTATTAATTTTTAGCCTATGTTTTTTTTTCACAAATTGATGTTAGCATGAATGAAAATAAAAAATGTGAAGGAAAAAAAAACTTTAAGATACTAAACTGTATTCACTAGCGTATGTTTCTAAAACGTAGAAAGTATTAAACGTACCACAATTTTCTTACATGTCACGGTCAAGTGACTGCCAGTTGTACATAACTTCCTCGGAGAGTTCTAGAAGGTTAGTAGACAATTTTCGTAAAAAAGATTGACAAGGAAGATTTAAAGTACACAGCTGAGGCTTCCACAAGAAAACTGCCTTGAGTCAAGCCATAAGATAAGACTTCAACCTTGATTTTATCACGAGATTGATCATTGATCTTGACATTTACTGAATGCTACATCTGTGCAGATACTCAAGTGTATATCTCAGCTTGAGCTAGCCCAGCTTATTGGAACAGGCGTCAAGAGTATGGGTCCCGCAGGAGTGGTGGGGCAAGGCATTTCCACCCCAGTATCCATGGGCACCACCGGTCTAGTACCCTCCCATGGTGAGTGTAACCTTTACAATATACTGATCAACTAACAAAGTGTTTGACAGGAGTCTGTTGGTTTCTCAGTTAGTCGAAAAGCAAGCAATGAAATGAAACAACCGTACAAATAGTGAGCGACTTTGACTCCTCGGCGTTCAAGAGTAGCAGACATAATTTGGTATCAGGGGTTGGCCAAAAACTTTCTCAGGGTGGGCAAGTGTAGGCTCGATTACCAGCCGCTGTTCGGGAAAGGAGCCTGCTCTCCTCCTCCGAAGGGAAGGAACGAAGACCAGACTCGAGAAATTCTAGGGCAAGTGAAGTTCGTGTAACAAAACACAAAATTTCCTTTTGGATTAAGTATCACTCTTTTCGGAGACGTTTCAAAGTAAGTTTTAATATGTTTGTAATTCCTTAATTTCATTCCATGTTTTATCGTTTTTTTCCCTCAGATCCCAAGAAAATTCAATATATTCAAGAAACAGTTGGTGAAACGAGTTCTCAGAGTGTTGTGGTTGCCGTGGACAGGTGAACATACATACATACAAACAAAAAACTTTATTTTATAGGCTAGCATCTCCGAGAAAATTAAATCCCATATGCGCAGAGATCTTTAAACCAAGTTAATTTTGTGAAGCATTTTTTTAATTTGTTTCTTTTCTTCTGATTGTTTTTCAGAATATTTACGGGATCCACTAAACTGGATGGAGATGCAATTGGTATGTATTTGAGGCCCGCATAGACCGTTACTAATCGAATCAAGTCACGTTTCGGATTACGCATCTCGCGTGACAGTCCCCAACGTGTGTCTTAAAGACATGGTTCTTGGTTACTTGTGGGTAAAACTTGAGATTTCTAAATCTCAAGAGACTGTGAAGCTTCAGATCTTTTTTGGTGTTTGTATTTTATGGAAGGTGCACATCTCTTCTAAGATATCATTTAGAGCGGTTTTCAACTGAGTGTCATAAAACCAAATCTAAAGTGATCACAAAAATTTTCAAATGTTGTTGTTTGTAGTGGTTAATGCGCTTAGCTTCACCTAGCTAGTTCACAGGCACTAATACAGAAGGAAACAAATATATCAAGTGAACATAATTGGCTTTACAAATCCAATCTGGCGGAAGCCAGACTAGTTGGCTATATGCGAGCATGACTGAGGAGTTGAACTAGGGTCTACTGAGAAACAACCCCACCTCAGTAGCCAGAATGGGACTTGAACCGGCGACTTCCGAATTTCAAATCTGGCGCCCAAAACACTCGGCCACGCTGCCTGCCTGTCACTCTGATCTGACCAATCACAAAGGATACGGACAATTCAATGAACCAATCAAAACCGGGAGTGAATACATGTAGCTGACGTGAAGCGCGGGAAAACGTGTTTTAACGAGTCACGATTAGTTTTTGTTTTCCTTCTGATTGGATGAAAAAGTGGCGCGAATTTTCTGAGCCAATCCTGTAGCGAAGTAGCCGATCACTTTTTGACACTCAAGAGAAAACTGCTCATCTGCAGCAAATGATTAATCAAATTTTTCTTACAAGTGTATGTGTTTACTCTCAACAGTGGACTTTGTTCAAGCTCTAGGAGCGATCTCATCAGATGAACTCGCGAACCCTACACACCCTCGAATGTTCAGTTTACAGAAAATAGTCGAAATATCTTATTACAACATGAACCGGATCAGGCTGGAGTGGTCCAGAATATGGGCTGTGCTAGGAGACCACTTTAACAAGGTACAATCTTCGTCAACTTTTGGTTGTCACAATTTGTTTTAGACAGGATTCCGTACTTTTTTTTTAAGTTAAGTTTTTAGTGGAGCTCCATATGGTGTTACGAGTCTTGGGTCACATGGTTTTATTAAACCCGAGGGATTTTTGCCGAATAAACAATAATTAATAGAGTTGATTATTGAAAGCTGCATTCACAGCATGGGCCTTGCTTAAAGGAGTTCAGTTACGGTATTTTGGGTTATTTTCGCCTGGTACAAAATTACCTTTAAATTGAAGGAAACCTGAAAATAGTAGTTTACTCAGATGGAAAAACACCAAAGAGATACTAATAAGCCTTTAAGGAGCAAGTGGAGAAAATTAATACGGATAACAAAACGACAACTTGAAAAATTTAGGCTAAACTTTTCAAGATGCGCGACCCGTGACGTAACTCCTTAATAGACAGAGCTTCTTTACTGTCTGCTTCTAGAAGTCAAAGGCATCGTTAGAGCAGGAGAGGTATAGTTAAGGGGCTGAGCAGATCTGAATTTCCAACATTTAACCTTCATATTGTTCTGTTACAGTGTGGTTGTAATCCCAATGAAGATGTGGCGTTTTTCTGTGTGGATTCCTTGCGTCAACTCGCCATGAAGTTCTTGGAGAAAGGCGAGCTACCTAACTTCCGCTTCCAGAAAGATTTCCTCCGACCCTTTGAATATATAGTCAAGAAGAATAGGTAAGTCGCGTTAAATCGGAATCTGAATACATTCCTTCAGATTTGCTAAAATATTTTCTAATCATAAATTGTTTTCTTTTCAAGTCTCTCGTTGATTAAAAGTGTCTTCTTATTTTTTTGCATCAATCACAGGTCAGCTACTATTCGTGACATGGTAGTCCGCTGTGTAGCACAAATGGTACATTCGCAGGCTCATAACATCAAGTCCGGCTGGAAAAACGTGTTCTCAGTGTTCCATTTAGCTGCTTCTGACGAGGACGAAGGGATAGTGGAACTCGCCTTTCAAACTACTGGTACACTGTTGTAATGTGATGAAATGCTATTCGCTGAAACAGAGAATACAGTTAAAATCAGCCTTCCTATCGTTGTCTCTTATTTGTGGAGTAATGTTCAACAAAAACGGTCCATTCTATTTAGATTTCTTTGAACTACCCTCTTAAAATCACTCTTAAACTCTGTGACAGTGCCCAAATGGTCAATAGACAGATTTGGCGGGATGCGGGATGGGACGAAACATAGAGGCGGGATGCGGGATGGCAGAAATTCTATTGTGGGATGCTGGATAAAAATGTTTCGGCAGGAGCGGGATTTGCCCATTTTGAGGCGGGATGCGGATAGTTGTGAAATTGACGGCGGGATGCGGGATGAAAATCAGAAAATTACAGGTAACGAACGTTACGCAAAAAACTGCTTGTATAACCAGGTGGGATCGGGATAAACATTTTGGATCAGTGGGGCGTGATGGCGGAATGTAGCCAAATGTAGTGGCAGGATGCGGGATTGAAAAAAGTCACTGTCTATGTTGGACCCTCAATCAATACATGTCCCGTTCCTTTCAGCTACCATATTCGAGAAATACTTTTCGGCTACGATTGATTCATTCCAAGACGCTGTCAAGTGTTTGTCAGAGTTCGCGTGCAACGCTTCATTTCCTGACACCAGCATGGAGGCCATAAGACTCATCAGGAACTGTGCTAAGCATGTCTACGAGAACCCTGAGGTAAGAACTCTCACCATCTTGCATGTCTGGGCTTTTAAAATCACTTCATGCACGCACATCGACCAGGTTGTGATGACTCAATATGTTAGTCACGCTCATAGCACGCCACCGTGACAACTCACAGTCACGTGCTCCTTTCAGGCAGCTGCAGTTGTCATTACGATCGAGGTCATTTCATAAGAAAGTCTGTCGGTCTGTCTGCCAGCTCTTAATGATGTGCAAAGCACTCGAAGATGATTTCCAGTCCGTACTACGCATTGTGGAATGTTTGTTTACGTTTGTCTTTTGAATCATGTGAGATGTCACAAAATGTAACATTTTGTAATAACTTACATGAAGCAAGTTCAAAGTTTCACGTCAACCGCCATTATCGACGCGAAGCTTTATGCTTTGTTCCTTCTGACATCACTTATGAAACAACTTCGTAGCTGTAAAGATCAAAGGAACTGTTGGAAAAAGAATTTAAAATGTCTCAAAGATATGGTAAGCGGTTCGTAACGAATAACGTCAATTCACATTCCATCGAGTGAGACTCACAGTCATTGGGGTGCTGAGACTGCGCAGTAGGTGCTTGAAATCATCTTTAATCCGGACAAAACACAGCCTCGACTGTAGGATTTTTGACACGGAAGTGAGGTAACACATACGTGCTTTTGTTGCAGATGTTCAAGGAGCATAGTAGCGAGGATGGTGGAGTTCCAGAGGCCGACAAGGTCTGGGTCAAAGGCTGGTTCCCAGTTCTCTTTGAGTTGTCGTGTATTATCAACAGGTGTAAGCTGGATGTTAGAACAAGGTATGTTGAACTTTGACCCTACCAAATATGTCTTTTGGCTTTCGATTTTTGGAAGTCTTGTTCACGATAGCTCCCGACACATGTCTGGCGTGCGTCAAATAGCACAATAATCTAATGGGTTTGTAACTTTATTTGTTATGTTTTCTTTCAGAGGATTAACCGTGATGTTTGAAATCATGAAGAGTTATGGGCACACGTTTCAGCAGCACTGGTGGAGAGATGTGTTCAGAGTAGTGTTTAGGATTTTTGACAACATGAAATTACCAGACCAACAAGTCGACTGGTCAGAGGTAAACAATAAGCACTTAATGACTAGCCCCAAGGGAAACAGATGAGTTATTTTAGAATTGTTGGAATTACTGTAAATAATGTAGTTAAATTTTAGTCTCTTTTTTATTGTAAATATCAAATTTAGGTTTTTAAATTTTATAATTTATTTTATTTATTTTATGTGTCCCCTATTAGTAGAGGGTTTTTTTTTATCCTCGGCTAGAATGTATTTGACACATTAATAAAGTTATTGTTGTTGTTGTTGTTGTTGTTTCCCCAAGACCTACAATGGGAACACTGAGGGTCGAGGGGAAACAAAACTCGCTTTTTCCCAAGGGGCCGGTCATGAAATGTTTTGAAATAGAACAAACTGAGAAAAAAATATTTGCTTGATGCCGGCTGGCACACAAATTTGCCGCGGTTTCTAGGTGCACAACCTGATGACGTCCAAGTCGAAAGTTCAAGTCATTGTTTCCCCAGCGAGTTAGTGAGTTTTGACCCCTGACATGTGACATGTTCTCCTCCAATCGAAAAACATATTGGAGTTGGGAGGTATAACAAAGGAATTTGTAGTCATTAGGCTACGTTTTCGAGCTTTCATTACTGCTGTTACAGACTGCATCTGAATCATCGCAAGTTCATAGAATCAAAGATTTGCTGTTGTTCGGGTATAACCAGCTGATACAAACGGTCAGTGTAAAACGCAGACTGCGGACTGCAGACCGGGGATAAAATGAACGCTGAGGGTAAAATGCAGACTGCAGACGGTAGACTTTTTAACTCAATCGTGTTACCATTAACCATTTCCATCATCGAGAGCTAACCGTAAGCAGGCTAACCGGAGCATTATTTAGGCTAAACTGAGTGACATTCAGGTTAACCGGAGTGCGGACTTACACTGCGATTAGCTTGAATAACCATGTCTAAGGTCAGCATTCGATAATGAAAACAACACGCTGCTTATCTGTATCTGACATTTTGCGTTTATCTGGTCAGGGAAATTCTATTTTTACCAGGGCAAGTCAGGGAATTTTATAAACTGACATCTGTGGCAATCACGAATGTGTTTAGTTAGCCTCTGAACAGGCTCCGGCTGAAAGGCTTTGACCACGGCTGGAAAGACCGAGAGGGACTAGTTGAGAGTGAAGTGGCCGAGGGGGAATAGGGTGGGGGCTGGGGCGTTTTTCTTTCCCTCCTCTCTTTTCTGTCTTCTTTCTTCTCCCTTTCTGTTCGCCCCATTCTCGACTGGAGAGCCTGTTCACAGGCTAGAGTTTAGTTGATGTGTTACTTCTGATAATGGGTTGGTTAGTTTTCTGATTATCGAGTTTTCTTTCTTATTCCTTGTAGAAGTCAGAGTGGATGACGACAACATGTAATCACGCGCTGTACGCGGTGGTTGATGTTTTCACACAGTACTTTGAAGTGTTGTCTGATGTCCTGCTAGAAGACATGTTCTCTCATTTGTTGTGGTGTGTTCAGCAAGGTATGTTTCCTCTGCTTATTTCTCACTAAATTTTGCAGTCATTTTTCATATGACTGTGTTGTAGTGGCAATCACATTTGCACAGTTAGTTGCTGAGAGCACAAGTCATTGTACAATTATGACGTGTAACAAAATAGTTGTAACTGGTGACAACTGCGCGTAAGGTCGCGTTCGACTGACTTGTATCTGATTGGCTGAGAGCACTGTTGCTTTACTGTGTTTGGTTAGATGGCAGCACAGAAGTTCTTTGAACCTCAAAATAGGCCATTTCCGAGTTACCCTGCGCCTCTGTTTCAAAACGAGTCTGTGCAAAACCTTTCATATGAAAATGCGTTTGATTGGCATGAAAATGAACCTCTAGGCGGAACGCATTTTCATATGAATGGTTTCACACGAAGACAAGTTTTGACACAGGCAAAAGCCAACTCGGAAAGGAAAGGAAAAGAAAAGAAGAAAAAGAAAGCTTTATTTAAACACGGTCACTTTGCTCAAAATTATAATACATTGCACTTTTGTTCTTCCCAAAAGGAGTCCTCTGAAAAGTGTGCTTTGTGGTAGAACTCTGTTTGAAGTACATGTTAGTTTAATCTGTTCCGAAGTAAAGCACAACAACATGAGATATCACTTCGGAGTCCAACGTTTTTATCTTCCATCTTATTTCGTTCCACAGATAACGAGCAGCTCGCGAGGTCTGGTACCAACTGCCTGGAGAACCTGGTGGTTTCTAACGGTTCTCAGTTCTCCTCCGATATGTGGCAAAGGGCGTGTCGTTGCATCCGGGACATATTCACGTCGACCGTGCCCAGTGAGCTTCTAACATGGCGACCGGAAGTGCATACTATGGGTTTACCCACCCCAGAATCCACACCCGCTCACAGCCCTACACTGACTCCTGCCCAGGGACACTCGTTCGACAATGTAAGTTGTAAGACACACTCAGCGTGCAAAGGAAATTGCAAAATTGCAAATTAAGTTTCTCACAGTAATGAGTACGAGGCGGTAATTGTGACAGGATATTTCTAGTGTACGAACACAGCCACCTCGTACTGTTTCGGGCCGTTTTTGGATGCTAGAAGCGGCTGACAGTGTTGTAATTCTCTTCTTTTTTTGATTCGTTGGCAGAAATCCGTTGATATGGAAGTGAGGCCGGAACATGACATTGTTCCTCGTCTGGAGGAAGGTTTGTTCATAATTAGCGCTTGTCATATCACAGTACGGCCCTGCTCATGGAGTCCCTTATAAGATATGGGTTATTGACCAGGCCTGAGGTCGAGATGGCTGGATATTGGCCAAGTTCTGGTTTTGCATGCTTATGGACCGAGACGGAGTAGAGGTCCATAAACAGGCAAAAAAAAAAACAAGGCCAATATCCAGCCATCTTGACCGAACAAGCTTGAACGATAAAGGCTTTATGATATGGTATAAAGAACAATTTTTTTTTCTTGCGGGACATAGCGCGTAATCCCGAGCGGGCAAGATAGCGCCATCTTGTCCACTCGGGCAGCCGATCACATCGCAGGATTTGGTTCATCTTGCCAGCTCTGTGAGCTAGCCAAACATATTGCAATCTGATTTGTGTATCGCCAGGCTGGCTGAGCTGACCCGTTCCGGAAAAAGCCGTCTAGCCCAGCAAATGTCAACAACTTATTTAGCACGCACAATTCGAACATTCACAACTTCACAACTTTTAGCAAAATATTTGTCAAAAAAAGGTGAACTAAACGCGCTTTGATGACGGCACTTTTCCTTTGCTATCCAGTGATTGCATACATTTGGTAGAAGTTCAGATTGGTTTGACATCAGCGGTCTTAAATGACTGGCTCAATGTTTAATTGCTTATACAGTGCTTTGCCCTTGAACAAAAGGTTACTCGAAAAACTCCATCCTTTCTGCGGGCACCAAAAATAAAGACGGACTAAAAAGTCTACTTAACTTGTGTTTTTCTTTTGTCTGTAGACGGAGATGAATGGGGAATGGATACATTGAGAGAGGGAAAACACGCCGACACCGCTGAGGATGCACTGCAGGCTCAGGAGTCAGAAAGTACCAGTAAAAACACACTTTCTGTGGTTCAAGTGGAATCCACAGAAGGATTGCCTCACCACTGTAAGTACTGTTGACTTGTGCAGCCCCCCACAGTGAGTAATGTAAACTTACACGCATGACCACTGTTGGTACTGTTAGGTAGAGCACCCTTCAACAGTCAGTGCCGCTGACCTGCGCGCCCCACCATAGTGAGTACTGCTAACTTGCAGACGCTACCATTGTGGATACTGCTAGCATACGCACCCGACCACTGTGGGTAGTGTTAACTTGTGCACCCCACCACTATCAGTACTTGTAAACTGTGCACGCTTCAATCGAGAGTATTGCTAGCTTGTGCTCGAGAATTTCTATCGTAACCGTTTTGTGTTTTGTCACGCAACACTCGTCATCTGTTTCCAAGTCAGGTAAAGCCTGTATACGAGCCAAGTGACCCATCAGGCCGGAGCTTATCGCGGTTTCTGTAGCATGAAGCGACTAGGAGTATTTCTACTCCCCCCTNTTGCCCAAGAACACAACACAATTTCCCCGGCCAGGGCTCGAACCCGGACCGCTCGATCTGGAGACGGGCGCACTGACCATGAGGCCACCGCGCAATTAAAGAGCGTTATATTAATTTGAGTTGCGGGTGATGATATTTATTTCACGTTAATGTTTCAGACGATACTCCAGAGGAACTATTTACTTCTCTGTTGATTCGCTGTGTTGTCCAACTCGAGCTTATCCAGACTATTGACAACATTGTGTTTTTTCCGGCTACAAGTCGACGAGAAGACGCCGAGAATCTGGCTTTAGCTCAGGTATGAAAAGTCATCTGTTTTGGGACAAGCGCTTAATAAAATTTTCTTGTTGATAATGTCATTCAACCGCGAATGATTACAGCGTTCATTGTTATGCCTCAAACTAGCTTGCGAAGAAGTAACAAACTTTGACGATTCTGTTTTGTGACCCAGCAAACACTGTGCAATCTTCTGTGTTCACTGTTTACGTGAGAAAAGCAGGTTCAGTTTCAGAGCTGGGGTAGTCTGTTCAACTATCGAAGTCAAACAAAAACCCAAACAAATAATTACTCACCATACTGCATGAAGAGTTGCGTAAATCACTTTATTGCATCTTTCAGTTACTGCTGTGATTGGTCAATTAAGCGGACCGTACTCTACTGTACATCTCGCTAAAACTTTAAGCTGTTTTTGTGTCCAAAATGTCTCTTAATTTATCGCCAAGTTTTCTTTTGACTTGAAATGTACGAGCGGATCCTCGCTTCCCCATTCGATGCATGTCCCGCAGGGTGTCCCGCGCGCGACGCCTTTGGGCCATAAATGGAATGGCAGAAAACTTGGTCCGTAACTTACAGTACGGCCCTCGGATTCGTGAGTAAGAGGTATGAATTTCATTGATGTCCTGTGCTTTGGTTGCAGTCTGGGGATAAGTCCCGTGGCCGCCTGGATAGTTCACTGAGTGAGTCAGCTGTAGGTGCAGGGATGTATCCGTTTCTCAGCTCCTCACAGCTTCTCCTGTTCGTTGGCTGTTTAGAGGAATCCCATCAGTTCGCCAAGTCATTCAATGCTAATAACGAGCAGAGAACGTTCCTCATGAAAGCGGGTGAGTTGGCAATAGGCCATGTCCGAGTTTGTTTCAAAACGGGCGTTCGTGCAAAACCTTTCGCAGGAAAATGAGTTTGATTTCCATGAAAATGAACCTGTGGGGAGAACAAATTTCCATACGGTTGGTTTCGCTCGGAGACTCGTTTTGACAGAGACTCAAAAGTGGCCTAATCAGAGTTCCTACGAGTTCCTACTTTTTTTCTTTCTACTTGCATTATCACTGATCAAACTACGAATTCTTTTTGCAGGTTCCCCTTCTTTTGTCTCAATAGGAGTTGAGAGAATTTGATGGAATATAAATTAATTTTATTTCCCAGTATTCAGTAGCAAGGGGGCGATATTTCTTTTGGTATTCTTAATCTGTGTTTGTTTTCACCAGGTTTTAAGGGCAAATCCAAGCCAAACCTTTTGAAGCAAGAGACTTCAAGCTTGGCTTGTATGTTGAGGATTCTGTTCAAAATGTATGGCGACGAAGAAAGAAAAGATTCATGGCCAGAAGTTGAACAACGATCAGTCAGGTGAGGAAGGGCTTAAGCAGTGAGAACCGAGCTAGCCTGTTCCAGGCTTTCGGTCAGTGGGGACGATCAAAGACGCGGCCGCGTCACGAACGGGATCTGGGACCGTTGGTCGCCCGCCCGCCCGCTTTTTCGATCGCCCCCACTGACTGAGAGCTTAGAACAGGCGAGAACCAAACAAGGGCTAATGTTGCCAATTAGTGTGTTGATTCTCGGGACATTTCAATCTCTGACAAAAAGCGGAGTAACCTTTCATTAATCTTGACGTGAATTCCGGGTACTTCGATATATTTTACAATATTGTAACTTGAAATTACGTTTTTACTCGGGCTTTCCGAAGGAAACGCCCGAGGTATAAATTCGGCTTCGTTTTCTGTTTTTGTTTTTTTTGCGTTCAGTCACAAATCGCCGTCGAGGTTACGGCGCATGCGTAGAATCTGTATAGTGCGCATGCGTAGTTTGCGCTACTGAAGCACATGGGCGAGTAATGGCGGATGGTGTTAAGGTCTCGTCGGTGACTGCGATTTCTGTGTCACAGTCATCAACAAAATGGCATACAGCCCTGGAAAATCGCCTTCAAAGAGAAAATCAGAGTCCGTGATCGGATATGTTCACGAATTATCGCCGATCAAGAAGAATAAATCCCGCACGATCGAGTACCATTCGCTGACGCTGCAAACATCGAGTACTCAACATCGTGAAGCCCTCCTGTATTCAACTCAAAAGAGTAAGTTCTTGGAAGAGAGTTTGGAAACCAGGACACCAGTGAAATTTCAGAACATTACGTACACCGCGGACGGCAAAAAAATTGTCATAAATGACATGACCTTAGTCACCACTCCAAAGCCAAGTAAATACGACTTCCAATACGCAGACTTCGCGCAGCATGAGGACACAACACCAGTCCCGATTTTCGACGTACTTAACAAACATAATCAATGGGACACTGTTACCATCAAAGGAAAGATTGCACAAATAAAGGATACCACAATCGTCGGATCAAAGAAACTGAGACTCTGCCAAGCACTGATTGCAGACAACACCGCAACCATGCCATTAGATATATGGGAGAACAATATCGCAACATTCAAACTTGGATCCATCTACATTGTAGCACCAGTCCAAGTGCGTGTTTGGTCACGTACCAAAAAACTCAGCACTATAGTTAAAACAACTGTGACTGAGACCACCGACGAAACTCTTTCAGACATCTCTCTAGTATCAAGCAAGCTAGACGAAAATGAACCCGACCTTGCAACGGTAACATAAAGGAAGTTCTACGAGTCCAGAGCAGCGACAAATTTCGGAAGTGCCTAAAATGCGACCGTAAGGTTCAAGATTGCTCTTCTCGGGTGGTCAACTGCCAAAAGTGTGGGAGCATGA